TTGTCATAGCATTTATTATTAGAGAAATGCAATAAATCATATAATTAGAGTTTATATAGATCATATCTAGTAAATAAAATTTAAATCCAAAACTAGGACCACATTGTATACTAAATTTTAAATTTCAAAATATATATTGTGTACTTAATTTTAAATTTAATATTCATAAACTATACATATAATTAAATATAATGTATATTTTGTAAATTATAAAAATACTAAATAGTACTATATACAATATCATACAACAGATTTTAAGAATATTTTAATTATTTTTTTTTTTAATTCGACAGTTTTGCCTCTACTGTTTATTAGATTTACACTTAGGTAATTTTTGGTTACAAATATTACAAATACAGTTACAACTATTTAATATATTTACAGTATTAGCTCATTCAATTACTAACTTGAGTACCTATATACAACTTGCTATATAAGATTTTATCTCTTTATCTACTGTTTTGCAACAGGAAGATTTCAAACTTACCAAATAGTTTCCAAACCTGAATCTATTTTTATCATATATATCCCGCTTATATATATCCACTAACTAACTTCTATCTCTCATCACTTATCACATTACTTCTAATTTGGTTCTTGTATTACTTCCAAATTAGTGTTTTTTGAGTGGGTACTCTTCGTGCTTTCAGTTTGGTGTCTCTAGAGGAGTTACTTTAAGAGCCTAGTCATATCTCAACAGTTATCTGTGCTAAACTAGGATATTATTTCATGTCAATCCAGGTATTCGCATCGCACACCACCAAATTAGGCTACTGCTCCTTTTATAATACTCTTTATCATATGATATTACAGAGTTTAGATCTTTAGAACAGGAGTTATATATCTCATTTAACTACTATTACAAGCCAGTGACTTGGAATTCGCACTTTTGCTATATTTCGTCATTGACTTCTATATAGGTTGTATGATATATTACTTTCTGGCCATTTTTATTTTTGTATCACCAGATTATTTGTTTCTATGTTTTTCAGAGTTTCTTTTAGCTAGTTTTCATTATTTTTTTGCAGCAGAGGTGTTCTATATTTGGTAAAGCTATCCTTTTATTACAGCCTCTTACTATATTCACTACTTCTCTCATCACTTTTGGATATACTGCATATAGCTGTTCTCTCAATTAAGATTCTAGTGTCACCTTAGGGTTGTTGGTACTATCTTGCCAATCGTGGATTTATACACATAGCCCTTCTGCAATAAACCTTTTGTAATTCATGTCACATGCAGTACTTAGACTTCTTCATGGCTTGAAGCTCCTTCCAAGAATTTTTTATAAACCAAATATGTATATTATATAGCCTTACTACCACAGAGTTTCACATTTGAAAGCTTCTAAAGATTACAAAGATAATTAATTAAATTAATTACCACTAGCTATAATTGAACCATCGATTTCAGCTGTGGAGAGTTAGGTGTCTAGACCACTAGGCTACGAGATCTTAACCCGAATATTTTAATTAGAGGTCTAAACCAGATGCAAATTTATCACCCAGGTTACCCATATAACTTTTAAATCGAGTATCTGGGTAAAAACAGGTTATATAGTATAGTTTGATTTATTATACTAAAAAATAAAAAAACTTCTTATAAAGAAGCTTACAATCTAATAAATGCATATGAAAAAGAATTTGTCACATATTTAGAAACAGATAAATATGCATAAAATATAGTAACTTGATATTATATTATTAATAAACCCAAACTCAAATCAATCAAAAAATTCAATATGTAAATAAATTATCAAAACTATATATTTCCTGCATCAGTGAGAATAAAGAATAAACCCTTAGTCATCTGGGGGGCCAAAGGGCCCTAGCAGGCCAAAGATCTACTAGGTTATTTTCTGTAGCAGTAAAACTATAAAAAAAAATCAAGTTTTTAGCAATGTACTATATGTCATTTCCCTAGAAGACAGAAAAATAACAAGTGTTGCTGGAAAAACAAGCATTGTTAGAACTTGATTTTTTTTACAAATTAAAGTAGTGATTATAAGTTGTAAAACCCAGTTATGCAATTGTATAGAAACGTAAATAACAGAATTTATCAGTTAGTATAAAAAAAAAGGTATGTTCAAATCTTAACTGATTTGACCGGGTTATAAATTAGAAACCCAGTTTACCTGTTTTAATTCAGGTCACCCAGGTTTATGTAACCTGGTTCAGATCTCTAATTTTGATTATAGTTCAATTATGATTATCAATTAAATTACAAAAAATTAATTAGTTAGTTTAATTAATAATACAATATAGTTTTGAAATTAAGCACTACTCCCTCTATTTCAATTTTTGATTCTTAGATTAGTAGAATTTGTAATAGAATCTTTGGCCAAATTGCTCCACTAATCTGAAATTTAAAAAATTAAAATAGAGAGTTTGGTAGTGCTTAATTTCAGAATTATATAATATATAGTAATTATATAATTAATTTAAATACTAATTTACTAATAATTATATAATACTTTTGCTATAATAAGTGAAAATAATAATCTTACTTCAATAAATATATTAAGAAATTCCAAAATGAAATTACAAAAACTAATTATCTAATCAAATATATATTAGAATATCACTTTATTTGCTATTAAATTATATACTTTATATTTCATTTCTAGTATTATCTAATAATCAATTTATTTAAACCTAGTTTATTTAGTCTATAATTAAATTTAATATTTGAACTTGGATATTAAAAGGTTTAAGTTTTTTAAAATGCAAATATATTAATTTAAAAAATTACTAGCCTTTGAGTTTGATATTATTAATTCTCCTTTAATCTTCTTTGCCAAAAAACAAAAAAGATTTTCATATAAAATTTTATAGTATTTGGGGACCTCTAGCAAAACAAGGCTTTGGACAAAAAATTTTGATTTTGTAATTTTATAAAAATTGTATTCTTATCACTCTAATTCTTCAAAAAATTGAGTTTTTAAAAAATTTTTTTTTTTTGCCCAAAGCCTTGTTTTGCTGTGGAGGTCCCCATTTAGAGTTAGAGTTTGGGTTTTGGAAGGTATTTTTAAAGGCATAAAGCATTTTTACTTGAAACATCTTGCATTAATTAATTAATTAGTTTTTGAGATAATATATACATAGGTGTAAAACACCATAGGTGCATTTTAGTAAAAGTCTTAAAAGATTTATTTCAGCATATAGTATAGCCAATTAAAATTAACTTTAAAATCATGTGATCGGACAGACGGAAAATGTAGTTTTTTTTGATATTTAATATTTGATGCATCAAGAAAGTAACTTTTGTATTACAATGCATAGAAATCACTTCGTCACAGACAACAATAAGGTAGAATTACAGTAATAAAATGTAATCATTTTAAAATCGAAAGTTATAAAATTTAGTTGCACACATTTATCGAAATTTACAGGTAAAATTTGCAAATTTATATGCGGAATCCGCATATGCACTTTAAATTTTGGTTTCAGACAGACTCCGCCACACACCGTTTAATCTAAAAAAAAATTCATATTAGTGCCGATATGGGCCAGGGCAATTTTTAATGCCAGCTGAATTAAGCGGTTAATATGGTTAAACGACTAACAGTTAAGAAAATTTTAGGTGGTTCCAATCCCTAGTTCGAAGGGCTGTCGGGATGCAAATTCTCAAGTTTGATTGTTATCATCATCAGAAAATCTTTAATTTATCGTTAAATAATATAATTTATATCCTTTCTATATACTGTATAATCAGATATAAATTGTCTGTTACAGTCCGACTGGTATAATTATTGTAATTACATATCAGGTATGTAATTTATACCGTACGTATGTACGTATAATTTATATCAAGTATCTGATATTTTATTATACGTATAGTAAATTGTTAACAATTTTTGAATTTTTTAGTTTAAAATTATCTTTAGCTATATATTTTTATTTGCTTTGTATAAAAAAAATAAATACTGTACTGTATATAATATATATATCTAAAAATTAAAAAAAATTTTTATAAAATACATTTTATATCTACTGTAATTTTTTTATTATACGGTTAATTGAAGACAATAATTTCAATTGGTCTTTAAAAATTTCAAAAAGAGGGGGTTTCTATTCACGTTAATATATAGCAAGTATAATAAAAAGATTTCATAACGATAAATAAATAAATAAATATATACAGCATATACGTATCATATTATATATTTAGTTCGTACGTACTGTACGTATGTATCATCCAGTCAAAAAATTAATTACTATCTTTAGAAAATACATATATATATATATCACAGTATCATTAAATTTATGTTTCGAGAAAAAATAAAGATATAATTAAAAAATAAAATCATGTGGAGAATCTCACGCATGTGTGCGAATATTCCCACAACTTGTGCAAAAGCAAAAATCACATCTTTATACAATAACATAAAATTCTTGCAATGAACAAGTAATTTTACAAAAGTCTCGCAGTTATTTCGTAATTCATTAAGCCACAAAAAAAAAACTCGGCTACACATTTACATATTAGTAAGGAATTCTGATATCGATATCAAATGCGGGATCAGAATATATTGCTAGTTTCTTAACCAGTTTAGTAGTTTAGTTTATTTGTTAATGGAACCAATTAAAACTAAGAACGTCTATTTATAATGCATTCAGTTACATAAATGATTTTTTTTTTGTCTGTTCTTTCACAAACTATTTAAAAGAAGTAACGCGAGCTTTTTAATAAACGAAAATAAAAATTTTGTGAATTCAAAACCGAATTTATTCGCGTAAGACTTTAGTCGCTGAAGAATCGTTATTTGTAAAGACACGGTAAGTCAAATTGTATGGGTAAAAATAATCAAAAAAATATAAATTTGTGGAACTTATCAAATAATTGAATTATCACGTCGGTTAAAAATATGAATAATTTGAAAAATTATCGGTTTTTTTTTTTTTTATATACATATTGCAAAAAAGACTGATTGAAATTTTTTATGGGCAATGTACATGTTTCCGCCACAATCATTTTCCTTGGGTTACAGTAAAAAAATAATGAATGACAAAACTTGGCAACAACCAAGCAGTAGCTCTTATAACATAGTTAAAAATTCATGGCCTGGAGAGAGTTCTAATAATAAAAATTGGTTACAATCTTCAACCACTCAAGAAGGTTGGGGTAGAGTTCCTAATGAAGGCCCACCACCTTCTAATAATGATAATTGGTCAAAATCTTCAACCGCTCAAGAGGGCTGGGGTTCAAGAGTTCCTAATGAAGGCCCACGACCTTCTAATGATGATAATTGGTCAAAATCTTCAACCGCTCAAGAGGGTTGGTCAAGAGTTCCTAATGAAGGCCCACGACCTTCTAATGATGATAATTGGTTACAATCATCAACTACTCAAGAAGGTTGGGGTCCGCGAGTTTCTAAAGAAAGCGATTGGCCAGAGCCTTCAACCGGTTGGGATACACAAGGTGTGCAACCGCAAGTTAGAGATGATTGGGTAAAGAAACAAGACCCTATTTCTAATGATGATATGTTAGTAAGTAATCAAATGGTAGAATCTGAATTAGAAGAAAATTTGGAGCAAAAGCAAGCTATCGTTGAAAATAATGATGATGTAATGGAAAGGAGGCAGACACCTCCGCAAGATCAAGAAGATAATCGCGTGATAAAACAAAGTTCCCTATCTGACGATGATGAATGGGTTACAAGCGGTCCACCGATCTCCTCTCAGGATCGTGAAAATGACCACATTATAAAACAAATCCCTACTCCCGAAGATGAATGGGTAACGAGCCAACCTTTTCATAAAGATGATAATATGATAAAGCAAGTGCCCCCTCAGGAAGAAGTTGAATGGATAACAAGTAACCCACCAGCCTCAGTTCATGATCATGAAGATCAATGGAAGAAACAACCTTTTCTCTTCGAAAATACTAGTTGGAATAGAAAGAGATCGTCTCCATCTGAAGATAATAATCGTTCACATAAAAAATATGATAAAGATCCGTGGGGTGGTAAAGGCCGTTCTGAGGGTTCATGGGAAAAGAAAAATGATGCAAATGATGGATCTTTGAAATATAATACCACACGTGCCAGATCTGTCGATCAGCATTCAAAAAATTATAATTCAATCGACCCAATGGAGATGGAGCCTGATGATTTATCTGTATGTTTCTAACTATGTTGAAAGTCATGTGTTTTATACCAGGTCGTTTTAACGTTTGCTTATTTTGAAGACTCTTGCTATGCAGGAGGTGATCCATAACTCTTTTACAACATTAAAACATAATGAGCGTAAACAATTTGAGGAATATGACCTAAATGATCATTCAAATTCGGTCCCCCCTGAAATTCTCCAGGAGACTGATCAAACTTTAATTCAAGATTTAATACTAGGTACGTAGTTGGTAAGTCACTTTCGTAATTCATATAGAATATATCTTCTTCATTTTAATGCATAATCTATTTTTTTTTTAGAATCCCATAACAAGAATGATCATTTGGAACAAGTCGAGTCTTCGTTCACTACCAATTATCAAGAGTGGTCAGGCAAAGCATTTCGTGATGTAGAAGTCCAAACGGATCCAATTGATTTAACATCACTTGAAGACTATTTAAATAGTATTGATCCTTCAATCATGAACATTTTACGCAAGAAGTTGACTTCAATACTTGGTATTGGACTGGCCGGAGATGTCATAAATAAAATGCCCATCCAACCCGATAGTTTTCCTGCTAAGATAACGGTTTCTGTGAAACCTTCAAACGAAAATAATGAGCCCCAATGGAATATTTCGTTGAATGAAGCATCAAGCAAGTTTGAGCAAACAAAAACTTATAAGCCTGAAACTTCATCCAGTACTACATTTAAATCTCAACAAGATAAAGATAGTTTTCCTGCTAAGACAACGGTTTCTGTTAAACCTTCAAACGAAAATGACAAGTTTGAACAAACAAAAACTTATAAGCCTGAAACTTCATCCAGTACTATATTTAGTAAATCTCAACAAGATAAAGATAGTTTTCCTGCTAAGACAACGGTTTCTGTTAAACCTTCAAACAAAAATGACAAGTTTGAACAAACAAAAACTTATAAGCCTGAAACTTCATCCAGTACTACATTTAGTAAATCTCAACAAGATAAAGATAGTTTTCCTGCTAAGACAACGGTTTCTGTTAAACCTTCAAACGAAAATGATGAGTCCCTATGGAGTCATCCTATAACTTCCGTCCGTCGCGATTCATCATATGATAATTTTACTGATAATACACGTCGCGGAGGCTCGAGACCTAGTCCTTGTTAGTATTTTAAGTTTTATTACTACTAGTTACATTAAGTAATTTTAAATTTATGCAAAAATCTTCTTTATATATAGTTAGCAATCCAATGCCTCCGAAATTATCACTCGAAGAGGCATGGAATAGACTTCTCCAAGCTGATAGTGGAAAAGACATTGAAGGATTTAAAGAAGCGTTTGAAGAATACGCCAAAACATCTCCAAAAGAAACATTCCAGTCAATCGAGAAAAAACTACGAATTGCAGGTTGTAATGGAAGAATAATTGCGTTGAAACGTGAAGGAATTCCGTTGACGCAATGCTTAATTGATTTGCAAGGAAACACCAATAAAAAATATTTGGCCCAATTAATTACGAGCCCAGATCGGTTATCACGAGCTTCTGGAAAAGCCAGTTCAGAAGATGAGAATTTTCAATGGCTCGCAGATGCAGGATTTCTCACTCATGATCCAACTCCTGTTTGCTTTAACTGTAAGCATAAAGGTCATAATACGAAAGATTGTCCAGAACCAAAGCATGAAAATGAACGAAATATACCTTTAGCATGTCAGCATTGCGGAGCTACCGATCACATAACGAAATTATGCAAAAGTGACGAACGACGAGATCATTATGCAGAAATTCGCGATCGAAACCTTGGTGGTGATGATGGAGGTTATAAATATGGTTCAAGTAACAATATGGTCCGTGATTATAACTCTGATAGTGTTGGATTAGAGAGCAATGATGACCGTCAAAGTTTGCGTAGGAGTCAAACATGTCATAATTGTAATCGTGAGGGGCACATATCCCGTGACTGTCCAGAATCTAAAAAAGATGATCGAAGATGCTTTAAATGTGGAAAGACGGGACATTTTGAAAGAGATTGTAATATTGCTGATAATCCATCATCATGGAATAATTCTTCATCTATCCAATCTGTCCAATCGAATTCACAGGATTATAATTTCAGAAATAATTCGACGACGAACAATATGCAAAGCAAAAGTAATGCAACACGGGGATCTCAAGAAAGAGCTACTAATGACGCTCGCCCGAAATGGGACGCTCAAGAAAAAGGATCCACTTTTAGTTCTTCAAAGGTTGATGCACCA